CATGTCGGACGGAGAAGACTCGTTACGTACAAAACAATATAACATTCTATGATAGGAAATTCTCTAAAAGCTTTCCTGTGATCGCAGTTTTTCATAACGTGGCTTTTCTGTGTAATTAACCAGCGACACAGAAACTTGTGACATGATGGCGTGCACACATCGTGTTTTGATGAAGGTGCTTAGCAGTTTGGCATCTGTGTCAGAGCAAATAAAACCACGCTCCGCCTCTTCCCTGTCTAGGGTTAACGACGCCAGGCTTCTCATTGAAATATACATGGAGTTTACGTCACCATGTTAATAGTCCTGACTTTCCATATTTGGTGTTTATCTTTTTGTCTTTATATTCTGTCTATCCTTTTGTATTTGAGTGAGTGTCGAACCTTCTTCCTTTTGATGTTTGTCCTTTTATTTCCTTAGTTCAAAACATGTTACACTATAAAGAGCTGAAATATACGGTAAAGACAAAAACTGTGATCCATTTAACTGTTGTCTCAGAGTTTTTAAATGTGTGAATTAAACAAACTGATATATAACTGAGCCACTATATAGTGCCCTTTACAGACACCCGTGTCGACGTCCTGGTAGAATAGTGTTGGCAGGGGCTAGGCCTGGTCTTACTGACACCCGTGTCGACGTCCTGGTAGAACAGTGTTGGCAGGGGCTAGTCCTGATCTTACTGACACCCGTGTCGACGTCCTGGTAGAACGGTGTTGGCAGGGGCTAGGCCTGGTCTTACTAACACCCGTGCCGACATCCTGGTAGAACAGTGTTGTCAGAGGCTAGGTCTGGTCTTACTGACACCCGTGCCGACGTGCTGGTAGAACAGTGTTGGCAGGGGCTAGGCCTGGTCTTACTGACACCCGTGCCGACGTCCTGGTACATTGTAGAACAGTGTAGGCATGGTCTAGGCCAGGTCTAACTGACTTCCGTGTCGACGTCCTGGTAGAACAGTGTTGTCAGGGGCTAGGCCTGGTCTTACTGACACCCGTGCCGACGTGCTGGTAGAACAGTGTTGTCAGGGGCTAGGCCTGGTATTACCGACACCCGTGCCGACGTGCTGGTAGAACAGTGTTGTCAGGGGCTAGGCCTGGTCTTATTGACACCCGTGCCGACGTGCTGGTAGAACAGTGTTGTCAGGGGCTAGGCCTGGTCTTATTGACACCCGTGCCGACGTGCTGGTAGAACAGTGTTGGCAGGGGCTAGGCCTGGTCTTACTGACACCCGTGCCGACGTCCGGGTACATTGTAGAACAGTGTTGGCATGGTCTAGGCCTGGTCTTACTGACTTCCGTGTCGACGTCCTGGTAGAACAGTGTTGGCAGGGGCTAGGCCTGGTCTTACTGACACCCGTGCCGACGTCCTGGTAGAACAGTGTTGGCAGGGTCTAGGCCTGGTCTTACTGACTTCCGTGTCGACGTCCCGGTAGAACGGTGTTGGCAGGGGCTATGCCTGGTCTTACTGACTACCGTGCCGCCGACGTCCCTCCAGGACTAAGTTGACAGGGCCCATCCCTGGTCTTACATTCAACAGGCAAGACGGAAAGATCGATTACTAGGACGGCGGAGAAGGCGCCTTTCTCCTAATACCATATAAATATATAAATATATTCTGGAGATATATAATGTACATATATAACCTCAGAACTATTTTACTATTCCTCCGAATTCGTATCGTCAAGGTCATATAATATCAAATGTATACGTTAGATAAAGTTTAAAGATTATTGAATGTTGCTTCGACAATTTACTAACGTTTTGGGGGAAAACATAATAATTACATGGGTGAGACTATTCTAACTACAAAATGTTGAATAGTATTGTGGCATGTATCTTGCTGGAGAATCAATAGTAAACTTATCAACCGTAAAACGGTACATTAAACGTTAAGTACCTCGAACGTGTATCAACACTTTCACTATATTGTACCTCATGTTTTTACAAATATATGATGTCGTCTTTTTCTATCCGAGCCTGACTTTCGAGGACTGTTTTTAACGGAAAGGAAAAGTAACACTATATGTTACACTTCCTTATTGATTCTCCATACGAGTTGACGCGAGAATATAAGTGAATTATAGTAATATCGAAAGTCTTTTAAGAAGAGAACCACATCTTCGCGGAAAATGCTGTCTTATTTTTTTGAGCTAATGCCTTTTCGGTAAAAAGATAATTGGAAATTACGTAATCAGTTTTCCCTGTAATCATTTACCGCGTCTCACGAACATCTACGATATACAACAGAATCCATTTCTTAATACTGAGTACTCGTTTATCTTCCCTAGGAACTACGCCATTTAATTGAATGACTAAAGATAATGTGAATTCCGTGCTTCTGCATGCAAAGCGTCCTTATTGTCGGTTTTAATGGTTTTTTTTTCAATTTATTAAGCAATCGTGTTCATCGATTTATTTGAGTGCACCAGCCTCGATAAATGATTATTTGATTGCAGAGCAAGAAAATACGGCACATCATAATGTGTTTCTACGCATGCTTTAAAAAAAACACCCGGATAACTAATGTTCACTTCTTTCGGATGTTTTTCATTCAAGTCCTCATCACATCTTAGCACTTTTGACTAATTGATATTTGATGTCTGAGTGTTATTTTTTCTTAAATAAAATCCAAAGTGCAAAAGTATATGCTGTCGCATTAAACAGACATGTATAACAGTCCTTTCTATGGCCGCTCATGTGATGTTGACCCCAACCGTACCGCATCAATATTTAAAAATTCCACAATCAATCTCTATCATAATTCGTTTAAACTAAACTATGTCTCTAGTAAATATGGAATATTCTACATTGCTAATAAAAAGGAAGGGGCACTGTCAGAGCATAGGTATGACATGTAAGGAAACAATAATTCTGAATGAGGTTGCGCCAATACAAATCGTTGGTAATATTTGTAAGGTAGTAAAATATCTTAAAGATGGTTACTCTAACACAGCTCACAACAAATATGTGAAATGTACATGTATCATCTGTTAACACGATTGGCTGCATGACACAATTGCATGCTAATATCTTTACCTTGAAACGTGTTTACCTTTGTGTGATGAGCTATACCCACTGACTCGTGATATCTCTCTTCGAAGAGATGGTAGCAATTAATTGTGTCGTGCATTTAATTGCACGCAAATATAATGTTAATCTGTTAAAAAAATAATTCATTTTAACAAACAATTACCTTGAAATTTAATCACAGTTGAATGTATGCCATAGTGTTTCTTGATGTACATATACTTATTAGGAAATTACGGCACAATAAAAACAAACGTGATCGCTCGAACGGTTCTGCATGCAACAACATTTTAATTGATCAGGTAATCTCGTTCGTTTCGCACCCAAATGACATGAATGTGGCGTAGTTTTCATTACGAACCAGTAATTCTGCTGATATCGTCGTTATTTGCGGAACACTCGGTCGATATTGTTTCTGTTTCCTGTCTTCGCTTGATTTGCCTTTGAACAACGTTTCAGCTATTCGCTTGTCGTCATAGAATCTGGCTTTGCTCGCCTAATAACGGTCAGGTCACGGCAGGTATATGTCGAGGGCACATGTTATATAATTAACTTGAGGACGTAAAGAAAGCGTTTCGTAGCAGATTTGGTGGAAAATATAATGTAGTATGTCCTAGGAGTTAATAAGAACATATATAATACATGTAGGTGTAAAAGGCAAATTGAATGATGGCGTTATTCGGGTCAGAATCTAAATAAAAACCGCGATCTTATCCTATAAAAATCCTATCTTCGACTGATTCCGTTTTACGTACTTTGACTTTGGCTGGTTCACATGTACTGCTTTTCTGTTTACGATGACTTGACTAAGATTAGCATGAGCAGCCTTTGTTACTTTCACACTCTGACGTTGGCTGTAGTTCGCATGATCAGCTTTTTTTGTACTTTATTTACTGTCGATGGCTGCGGTTCGCAAGATCAGCTTTGTTTTTTTATTTACTGTGACGATGGTTGTGATCGAGAGAGCAGCTGTCATTAATTTACTGCGACGTTGGCTGTGGTTTTCATGATCAGTTTATCTAATTTCCGGTAGATGACTTGCTCAAACAGTCTAGGAGCAATCGGTACAACAATTCTAAGCACAAAAGGTCAACGTTGACAAACAAGAAATCTGACATATAACTAGATCCTTATCAGCGACTTGGTTTCTATAATGATATACAGGACTAAATGTTATCCATAATTTTCAGTGTCTCAATATGTTGGTCGAGACATTCAATGTATTTCATTTTTCAATTAGCTACATTCACAAAATCGTCCAAAAGAAAACACAATCACAAAATAATGCCCAAGAATTATAAATGTAATCACTTTGTATGAAAATGTTTTTGTTTCAGTGAAGCTAAAGATTATTTTAAAGACAATTTTTCTATGAGCCATGAAACAACACAAAGCAAAACAACATTATAAAACCTAGATGTAACGAATCAGATGTAAACAGCTTGAATTCTAAAGCGTATCTTAAACCATTAAGAACAATAATTAGATTTTCACAAACAACCTTGTCCAGGGCGACTGACCACTGTATGCCGATACTGTCTGTCTGACATAACTGTTTCCGTGCGCGTGCCGAGGTTACAGAGGCACTATTGTTTACGCAATCGATGTAGTCATGAATATGCAAATAAAAAGCTTCCCTTCCACTGTATATTTTAACTACACATTGTTTGGTTGACAGAGCCAACCTACATAAATATTCATGTAGTTCCTGGAATACACTTCACCGTAGGCATATAACGACGTAATTATATTTTATGATTGATGTATCCGTTCTGTATGGGAGATTCTGGTCGATGATAGTCTGTGAGGCAGGTCACATGTATGAGACTTAACACTGGCGGCCAATGAAACACATTGGCTGTTTTTATGGAAATATCAATGGAAACACCGATTAAATGAAAATGGTTGCCTTAACAATGAAACACATTGGATGTAAAACAAAACTAAATGAGTATGCTAATGATTGTAGTCGATCACCTACCTTGAGATGGCGTGGGTTGATTTCCTTGGTCAGATGAATTTCCTTCTGGGTTGGATCAACTCCATGAAGAGGATACACAACCTCGCCGATAATCTCGTCTCGCGAGAACCGGTCAAAGCTAAGGACCACGAAATGCAACGTAATTCCTTGAATCTGATTTTCACTGATGCCGTAGAAGGTAAATGTCTCGTCGTACGTGGGACTGAGGGTTTTCCGGAGAACCCTTGTTTTACACTTGTGCCTTTTATCAGGCAGCAGCTGAAGCTTGACGTAGGGATCACACCCTCCTAAACTTGGGTCCCTCTGGGGTAGGTCTACAGCGCGCAGAATCGTCACAAGCAAGGCGGTCTTCAGCGAATCATATTCCACGGAGAAATGGAGGTTTCCCAGTTTCTGTATTTTATTTTCATCAATTTGTTTTTCCCTCATACAAACTTCTTTCTCTGGCGTCTTCCCTTCTTTTTCATTTTCCACGTACACTTCTGATTTCACGTGACCTGAGGACTCTTTTTCGGATTGCATTGAGTACGATGGCGGAAGCATACGTTCAGTTGATCCAAGGTCATGCTGCGACGGCGGAGTAATAGGACTTGTAGCTTTATGCTTCATTGGCGTTCCGCGTGCTGAGACATTTTTCTTGACGTTTGTACTTTCCTTCAGCCCTTTTTTGATGGCAGACGATAGCCTGCTTTGGACCTCCTGAGCTCTCCGCCGTCGATAGCATTTGTACGTTACGATGGTGGCTAACACAATGAAAACTATTGTCCCGGCGACTATCCCAACTATGCCGAATGATGAAACTGAAACAGAAAACAATATACACTGAATATATCTTCATACAATAACATATGGTTAGAGTATAACATTCTCAGTACACTTTATATCTACCGTCATGCGAGCCATGTATATCATTTCAAAACATTTATTATGTCAGGTTAGGAGGGTTAGAAAGCAATGTATCAGCTTTAAAAGAGCTACAAACTGTTTCTAATACGTTGGAAAAATAATAAACAAATTAAAATAATAAATAAATTTATAACAATCAGAAAAGATACCATCAATATGGTGTTTAGTAGTTTTGTATAGGAAATTGTACATTGCTTTTGATTTGGAAGGAATACTATTGCATTTTAAACCAAGCGATAGTTAATGTATCGAGAATTATAAAAATGTAGGTTTGCTGCTTGTTAGGTAAGAAAAAGGAAAACATGCGAACAGACTTGAGATGACAAGCAATGATGTATAGAGAAAAAGTTGAATCCTATGCAGGGTATTGAGGCTGACCACATTAGTGAAAAGACTTCTCAAGCTCAATTCAGGCTGACCCCAATAATAGGAAAAGAACCGTTTCCATTCCAAGCATCTCCAGACAAACGATACCAAAGCTAGAAATGTCGCGACTCTACCCTACAGACATTCACTGTCAATTTCCTAAATTGAGTAGACTAGAAACGGAACTTGTAAAAACCATTCAGGTATGCTCTTCATTAACCACTACGATTTTGCTGCATTGCAAGGGAAAGGAAATTATTCAGGTAAATTTATCTCATTTTACAGTGATATTGTAATTCGTATTCGACTGCATCGTTAATCATGTATTCCTCCACGTCATTTAACGAACACTAGACACAGAACAAACACACGTCACATCTACATCACAATCTCGACACCTCCGTTACACAACCACGACACTTATGTAACCATATGATTTATTAGTGTAATCTATACATGTATGAACAAACGCTTTTAATAGTTGACAAATGCAATCTTTGAAAATCGAAAACAAGTTCACATATTATCTAAATAATATTATTTGAAACCTTGACAAACTATTATTAAATGGTAAGTTTTCAGATCATTCCACATTGACCGTGCCTCTTTTGCTTCAGAGATCCTGACATCAGTTTATCTCAGCGTGTGTATACGGTAGAAAATTCAAGCTTGTAAATTATGTGTGATTTAACTAGAAATGGAGATGTAGATAGACATGCGTGTTTACTGTCCCAGCACGATTTCAAACACACACTGGAGCAACATAAAACAGTGTTTCCATGGCAACAACAGCAAATAATTCAAAGTCTGAGAAATTACTTGGGAAGATCGATAGGACACGAGAGATCATACGAACGACAAGGCATAAAACGTCTTAATCAAAATAGAACTGGAACGTGTTTGTCGATTTTGTCGATTTTGTCTTCAGATAAACTACAGTGATGCCTTACTCCAAGCTCGCGTGCGACGTATGATTTACTTGCCGATGCATGCCACACAATACATATCACGTGATGCATTCCACATTACAAATATCAAGTGATAACTTTTACTTTGGCCAATACCAGTACATGTCACACCGGTACAAGGAAGCAAGTGCACTGGCCAATACCAGTACATGTCACACCGGTACATGGGAGCAAGTGCACTGGCCAATACCAGTACATGTCACACCGGTACAAGGAAGTGAGGTCACTGGCCAATACCAGTACATGTCACACCGGTACAAGGAAGCAAGTGCACTGGCCAATACCAGTACATGTCACACCAGTACAAGGAAGTAAGGTCACTGGCCATTACCAGTACATGTCACACCGGTACAAGGAAGCAAGTGCACTGCAGTTTCAGCGTTCATACAACATTAATAAAACCAATCACCGCAACCGAAGCACAATCCACAGAGGAATCGTTTTGTTCAAATAAGATGAAGAAAAATTCAATTGTTTCTTAAGTACAGATGATCTGTGAATTTCTCGGTTATTTGATTTGTCAAAAAATAAAATCTATAAATATAAATGATCACTTTTTGATCAAGGAAAGGCTTTCAAAATGGCTACAGGCGCTTTTCGTTGTTTGTTTTGTCTCTGCAACAGGTAACTCATATGACGGCGACTCGTGTGACTTGACCACAGCTAATGGGTCCATAACCCAACTGTCCCCCTTCTAAACCACATTGCCAAAGGCCATTGACATTAAGAGGTCTGTCTGGATGTAAATTACACATAAAATCAATGGTGTGGAGTATCCCTGGTGAAGGCAGTCGTCCCTTGTATCAGACAGTTCTATCGCCTATCTCCATGGTCACAGATCACATGACTAGACCCTATTCCTGACGTCTGCCAAGGGCAATCATGGAATCACTTTTTGAAACGGCAAATGTGTCTTTAATGTATTACAAGAAGATTTTGTGCTAAAAAAATTGCAATATTTAAAAACGCATCTGTCCTGCTTATAATAATAATACTAATTATAATTCGAGGTTCTGATATACCGCTTTATCACAACCTAGTTCGTAGGTCGTCTCAAAGCGGTTCACAAATTATTATCCGTGGTTATAGGGCCTTTGTAACCAGCCAATACCTTTCTCAACTCCCTGGGGAGCATACAGTCAGAGTTTCCATTTCGTTGCTAACAGCTAGCATTCAACAATTCTAGCACCGCCCAACCACGTACTCATTTACAGCTCAATAGAATACCGTGCCTCCGTAAAACGAACTTGAACAACACTTTGAGTTATAATTATCTTAACGTTTAATTAAGCTATATGTATCTAATTATTATCCAAGCAGTTCCATCTTCAAATTCCATATGTATTTCTCTGACCATTCAGACACCTCTAAATCGTCCAACCCAGACTATAACTACGATACAGCAGATTGTTACCGATGTATCAAATGGAGCCCCGCTGTTAGTCTTGTGATCGATCTAGCATTAATCTAGCTATGCGTTTGTTTAAAAAGATGACACACGTATAACTTTGGTGTAAAGGTCTGCTATAAGTTTGAGGCAAGGTAGAACAACAGAGCTCCGCCACACTGAAATCTCCTTTCGTTAGTGGAAAATTACCTCCTCGTAAAATACGAAGTAATAAGCATCAACAGATTTGGAGAGTCGAAGTATCAAGTCGACCAAAGTAAACATGTTTAACTGTACCGTATTGGTCGTTTTTAATCAGTGACATTTAAGGTGAAAAAATGTTTATATATGGCATAACTGTTATGAAAATAGAAAAGCAGAAAAACGTAAAAAGTGTCACAAAACTATTTAAAACGTAACAAACAATTTTGGAGTACATCAGATAATCTATTTTTAACTATTTTTTCCATGGAAACCGTGCCAGAATTAATTTTAGAATAGGAAATCGTCCCCATTTTTCAAACCATATTGTTTGCTTGAAGCAATGTGAAATCTTCGGATGCATCCAGCGACATTCACTGAGTTGAAAACAACCCCTCAGTAGAAATATTGGAATATTGTGTTTCGTCACTTTGTTTCCATACAAGATCGACCACGTTACGCTATACGCATGCGTGAATTTCTATATTTAGGAAAAAAAAGATCCTGGTCCATTTGATTAGAAAACAAATATTTACGTCGTTTTTCAAACGAAATGATCGATTAGAATACGGAAGGATAATCAAGATATAATTTTTCAAAATGATATTCGTCCATACCAAATCATTTAAACATTAACCAGCGGAAACTGACGTCGGAACAAACGGTCAATTGAAATGAATTAAGCGATTTGTTATAGTTATCCCGCAGGCGCGAGCCCAATACAGCTGTTTCCGGGCACGCGTTGCCTCTAAAGGTCCGACCATTTCCCGCATTGTATAATAACTGAATGTCATGTTGGCTATAAATTCTACACATTGATCAGATGAATGCGTTTATTTTCTCCTTGCAGACAATGGTTCGACGTTAAACACTTTTTTTATCAAATAATTTGTTGCAAAACCTCATCAATTAGGTGAACATTGGTAACATCAGGGGCGAAATGCCGAATCGTCCATCTCCGATAACGGAATTTTCCTCATTGTTCATATAAACCCGTTTCATCATCATTCTACAATATTAATAGGAAACCTCCAGGAGACTTTTTAATCCTGTGAATATTATATTTGAATTACGCTTACAGATTGTAATTAAGTGATCCATTCCTGGACCGGAAATTAATAGGGGGATGTAATTGAAAATGAAACGTACAAATATAAGGCAGATTAATTCCGATCAAATCATCCTCCTGAATAGAGATATAACATGATAAGGATAGGGATTTTATTGGCATGTTTACTTTTTTCCGGACTGAATTGTTATGTTTCTGGGATAATTATCAGATACTTTATCATGTATTTTTATCTTGTTAACGTTGTTTGCCAAGCCGAACATATCGTTGGAAACACCATATCTCATACTGTGAACTATGCGACCTCAACCTATCCAATAATAAAACATTCACAATACAAAAAGAAAAATCGTGTTTCCCTATGAAATCAAAATATCGAGGAATATGATTTTTAGACCAAACTCTTAAATATCATAACAATGCGACACGTGAAAAAAAGTGTTTGAGGGCTGCCTGGATGTTGCTATCAAGAAAGGGGAAGATCACAACTAGAAATCGAAAGTGCCATGGATATCTTACAACTTAGTTGTATGCCATCCTTGTTAGTCACATTGTAAGTTAAGATTGAGAGAAGCATTGAACTTTGTTTATTTGGATATATGAATGACACAGCTTTGCAAGTTAACATCATAATGCACGTTAAAGTATATTCATGATTGATCAAAAGATCTTTTGAATTCTTTGAAATCCACATCCTATTAATTAATTTTCTTGAGAATAAAGAGCCACAATAGGAACAGGCTATGGTTTAAATGTACTGTACAAAATATTTGTTCAAATGAGTTTGGATAATTGATTTGTTGAGTATCTAGCAGAACCATTGATAATGCGTCGTTTATAAGGATTCTTGTGAAGTTTCGGAATTTAGTACACACGCGGCAGAATGAATGGGGTCGGACATAT